AGATATGCAGTAAATAGTAGATGGTGGAAATCACTCGGTTCGTTGTAAGGAACAGAAACATAAGTTTTCTTCTACTACAGTTAGGAGATCAAGATAAATACGAGAGCATTGAACAAACTGATTTCATTATTAAGAGTATGTTGTGAAGATAGTATAGGTTAATGCATTTTACACTATTAAACTTCCCACATAATAATTTTTAAAAACCAAATATCGCATGGAATCAGAAAGGCAAAGGTGTGTTTTGGAGAGCACCTGCGTAAACACAGCAGATTCAGGATCTATTGTGACAGGAAAATGTTTCTGTAGACCAAGTGGTGGATTCCAGTTAAAGCAGCAAGAGTCCTCGGAGAATGTCTGAACCTCGGGCTGTGGCAAGGAGCTAAAGACACTTCCAGTTGCTAGATATACAATGATGTGGGCCCAAAATAAATGGTAATGGTATTAGATTATAAAATAAAATAAAATAAAAAGAAGCACGTATGTGTCCACAGTGATAAAAATGATTAGTTGCATAAGCAGTGCCTGGAAGGAAGGGGAATATTATAACATTCTCCACTCTTAGCAGTCTAACTTAAATGAGAATAGCCATGAAGTTAACAAATTAAATATTCAAAGACTCTTGTTTGTTAACTGTAGCATTAATATAATAAATGAATATCTAAAAAAGCAGTTTCCATTTTGCCAAATTAGTTTACAATCATTAAAATCTCATTTCCGTGAAACATTTATGGGAGAAGACTGATATGTAAGACATAAAAGCATAAATTTTATTCATGACGTCTATTTCAGCTTATTTGAAGAACATACTGTAAGTGTGTGGATGCTATATCCACTTGAAGTAAAATTAAAAAGCATTTGCAAGTCTATCTACTGGTTTAAACAAACCTTGTGATGTATTACCTTTGCTCTTATGATTCTTACATATATATATATTAGGCATTGGCTCATATCAAATATCCCTTATCATAATAATTTGCACTACAGCATGAACCCAATATATAAGTTTACTTGATTGTTTTTTAAAATTGATTTTTGTTCAAAAAAACATATGGGTGTGAAGAGGAAATAGACAAGATCTCCTGAGAAAATTGGGAGTGTGGGCAGAAGGGGAGGGGGAGGGGATAAGGGAAAGGGGAGGAGAATATGAGGGAACAGGATGATTGAGATGAGGATAAGGACAGAGGGCGGAAGCAAGGAAAGAGGTATCTTGATTGGGGCAACCATTGTGGGGCTAGTGAGAAACCTGGTACTAAGAAAATCCCCCAGGAATCCCCAAGGATGACCCAGCTAAGACCATAAGCAATAGTGGAGTGCGTGGTTGAACTGGCTTTCCTGTAATCAAGTTGGTGACTATCTTAGCTGTCATCATAGAACCTACATCCAGCAACTGATGGAAGCAGATGTAGAGATCCACAGCGGAGCACTGGGCCGAGCTCCCAGACTCCAGCTGAAGAGAGGGAGGAACAATAACATTGAGCAAAGGGGGTCCCGCCCATGATGCGGAAACTCAGAAAAATAGTTGACCTGAGCTAGTGGGATCTCACTGATCCAGAGTAACAGCTGGGAAACGTGCACAGGACCAAACTAGGCCCTCTGAATGTGGGTGACAGTTGTGTGACTTGGGCAGTCTGTGGAGCCACTGGCAGTAGGTCCAGGACTTACCTCTTGGGCATGAACTGGCTTTTTGGAGCCTGTTCCCTATGGAAGGATACTTTTCTTGCCTAGATATAGTGGGGAGGGTCTTGGTCCTGCCTCAAGAGATGTGACAGACTTTGTTGACTCCCCAAGGAAGGCCTCACCCTCTCTGAGGAGTGGATGGGGGTAGAGTGGGGAGAAGGTGGTGGGGACGGGAGGAGGGGAGGGAATGGGAACTGGGATTGATACGTGAAATGAGAAAAGACTGTTTTAAAAATAAATAAATAAAATCTAAAAGGAAAAAGGAAAAAAAAAAAACAACAAAAAACCAATTATGTGTTTTTGTAGCATTTTGTTTTATGTGACAACAGTCAGTGGAGAAACTGATAAAGCTATCTGCCATCCATCAATGAGGAAGACTATAAATTAATAAAAGGTAAAGATATTTTTTATCAACTGACTTAACTCATTATTGTTGTTTTAGCTAAGGAATATCACCTGTAATTTATTAAGTATTCGTAAGCACAGAATTACTTTCAAGACTCATATTACGTTTCATAGCAATGGCTTACTTTCTCCCTGGGCATAAGGGACTGACTGCAGACAGGTTGGCATCTTCCTTCTGAAGTGCAGTCATGTTTCTCCAGTATTACCTCAATGAACATGGAGATCTCATCTATATAAAGAAATTTGACCCTATGGGACAACAGACTTGCTCGGTTCTCCCCTGACGACAAGTACTCAAGGCACCGAATCACCATCAAGAAACGCTTCAAGGTGCTCATGACTCAGCAACCGTGTCCTGTTGTTCTCTGAGAGTTCATTAATTTCACCTATTGCCCACCCCCAGGCCGATTATCAGTAACCAAATGCATCAATCTGTGAGCAGTGATGCCTGCCTTCCCGTACTGTTTGGAATCCCATCTCACCACGTGATTGAGTCTATAGTAATGGGCATCTCCCGTAAAAGGAATAATCTTAACTTTGTTTTTCATGCTTTGAATTAATTCCAGGTTATTAAAGATTAGAAAGACTTGAAAGTTCAAAAAAAAATTTTCCCTGTCTGCTGTTGTCCAGAAGTTAAAATGTTAATAAAATATTTAACTTTGAAATTATTGATCATATCCTTTATTAAACAACTTCACATTATACTTTAAATTGTAACATCTAGGGAATTTTATAACACACAAAATAATGTAAAATGAAATATCTATACGATAAAGTAAAAAGAAGAAAAATATAAAAGTCAGTTAGTGTAGTTGGACTACAACCGTCCATGAGTGGGAACAGATTGATAATCTACTGTAATTTTTAATTTTAATTTTATATGTACAGGTGTTTTGCCATCATGTATGTTTACATGCCTGGTGCTGCTAAAGGCAAGAAGAGGGAATCCTTTCCTGGAAAGAGAATCAGGGTTGTGAGCTGCCATTTGGGTACTGAGAACTGAAGCCAGGTCCTCTGGAAGAGCAGCCAGGACTCGTGGTCATTGAGCCACCTCTCCGGCCCCATTTCACTTCTGAAAAGTGCAGCTTCAGTCTGGGAACATTGCTCCAGTGTGACACAAGATGTGAGCAAGTTAGGTCACCTCACAGATGTCAGAACTGTGTCTTCATCACTGGGCTGTTTGGAGGTTTCAAAATGGAACACAATTGGATATCACTTATTTCTGCTCAAATTAATCTGCACTGAAAATCTCCCAAGAAACACTTGATTCATTCCGTCTCTCTCTGCGATTGCTGGAGTCTACTAACCAATCCCGTTTTCTAGAGCACAACTACCTCTGGCTCATATTTGCTAGCCAATGCAGGTCCAGCTAGAGAAAGTTGAGTAGTATTATTTTTTAACACATAATTATGACAAGTTTCCATTGTGATTCATGGAAATTTGAGACTTACTTTATTCATTAATGTTAAAAATTAATATAGTATTTATAAGTAAGGAAATTTCTACAAGGCAGGTGTGAGCATAAAGAAGATTGGCTGTTCACTCATGTGGGTTCACAAACCAGGAAGATGGGCCATCTACGTAGGACAACTCTGGAAGTCTATTATTTCCAAATATAACTTAGGAAGGACTCTATCATCAATCATGTGAGGAAACATGGAATTTTCCAATTATTTCTCTTATTATTTGAGATTATAATATAATTAAATTGTTGTCCCCTCCCTTTTTTTCTTTCCAAAGCCTCCCATGGGCCCCTCTGTGCTCTCTTTCAATCTTTTAATTTTATAAAAGTTCATTCATACTTTGTTGAGACTCCTTTAAAAGAAAAATAATAGATTTTAGGAGTCTGTGTTAGAGAAATGCCTTTTAATTCCCTCTAAAGACAAGATACCCAGAAAAATGCTAGTTCGATTATAATGGAATTACTGATGTCAATAATACATGCAATATTGTTTTGTTCTTGTTAATATTAATAGATTAACCACAAAAAATAGGAAAACAATTGATGAAGACATGAATATTGTTAAAATGTGCATCATACTTGCTAGCCAAGGTATCAGTATGGCAAACATTTGGATGCAGTTACCTGTCATTTATGATCTATCTATCCATCCATCTACTACCTATTGAGTTGTCAATTTCTATTCTTTGCTCTTAGAGTCTGTCTATACAGTCTTCTACGCATACACATATACAGTTCCATGAGCATGTACATGTATGTGTGTGTCTTTGTGTACCTGCCTACATGAAAATATAGCACTCAGAGATGACAACAAAACAGTGTTCAGAACTGAACCTTCTTCTGTCTTAGGAGAACTAAAAAGAGGTCCTCAGACAAATGTGAAAGTCCTGTATCGTGCTGCAGTCTGTTCAGGAGCAGTGAGAAGTACCCAGTTCCGAAGGATCTGAGAGTTAAAACACATGGCTGACTGTCCTTCGACTATCGTTTGGGACCTTGTAAAAGTAGGTGAGACTCTACCACACCCTACAGCAGGGCTTCTCAACCTTCCTAAGGTGCGACCCTGTGATACAGTTGCTCATACTGTGGGGACCCGAATGATAGAATTATTTTGGCTGCTGCTTCATAACTGCAATCTTCTACTGTTATGAATCATAATGTAAATATCAGTGTTTCCCAATGGTCTTTTGAGGATCAAACCCCACAGGTTGAGAACCACTGCTCCAAAGGATGCCCTGGTCCTCTTTCAAGAAGCTTACGTACTAAAAGAAAAAAAAAATGAAGATGGCAGGCAGCCCTGCGGTCACAAATGTCCTCCCACCATCCATACCCAAGCACTGTGAAGTCCTGTCTCCAAGTCTTTCACCAAAGGCACAACTGTCTCCTCTAGATCTCATCCAATCAGTTTTCTCATTTCCTTTACTCAGTCAATGATTGGTGGAAAACGGCTTCTTACCCTTTGGGTGAGATGTGATGGAATCCTCTAGGGAAGGCTCCGTGCCTCCATCTTGACCACTGCTGCCTCCGGGACCTCCTCCGGGACCTCCTTCGGGACTTCCTCCGGGACCTCCTCCGGGACCACCTCCGGGACCTCCTCCGTTGTGACCGTCTCTCTCAATCAGTTTGTCCACGGTAGCGATAATGCAGTTGAGGCTCTTCCCCACGTTGGCCCACACCCGATCCTGAAGACAGCATGGTTGTCACTACAGACTTTACTGCTAAATCATCACATTAGCCAGCTTAGAGAAGCAGCCAGAGGCACAGTCAGCAGAGTGTGGAGAAGCTGCAATATTCTCACTATTTGGGGCACATTCCAGGTACGTGAAAATCTATTTTCTCCTGAAGATCAAGGTTAAATTTCATTAATTCTTTAGTTAATATGTTTGAAACAATAACATGCTATATAATATTAACCAGTAATTGAACTTAAGTTGTGACATTTTGCTAGATACATGCCATTTTTATCCACACACTAAAAAAAAAAAAAAAGATGCAATAATATTTTAAAGAAAAGCTATCACATCAGAAACTGTCCTTTTTTTTTTTTTTGAGACATTAAGGTTTCTCTGTATAGCTCTGGCTGTTCTGGAACTTTCTCTGTAGATCATGCTGGCCTCTAACTCAAAGATCTGCCTACCTTTCTGTCTCCAAAGTGCTGGAATTAAAGGTGTGTGCCATCATTGCCTGGCACGTTTTCTCATCCTATGCCACCAATATTCACTTCTAGAATGTGTTCATTTGCCTAACCTAAAAGTCTGTTGCCGGTACAGATAAACCTCCCTTCCCCCATTCTCAACACATTTCTGACAACCAGATCCTTAGATCTGATTTTCATGCATGTGGTGTACCGTGGCTACACAACTCACAGCTGACATTGTCTGTGTCGCCATTCCGTGTAGTATACCACGGCTACACAACTCACAGCTGACATCGTCTGTGCCGCCATTCCGTGTAGTATACCGCGGCTACACAACTCACAGCTGACATCATCTGTGCCGCCATTCCGTGTAGTATACCGCGGCTACACAACTCATGCCATTTTTCATTTCCTGGGAAAGAGCTCATGTCTCCAAGGAACCTCTTTGCACTGGTGTCCCCAGTTATGACAAGCTTGTTCTTTTTTAATTCATTGATTCATAAAAACTGCATTAAATTTTAAAAAAATGTTTTAAGCACAGTCGCTTTGATAGAGGAGACCAGTCTCCCTTTTTCGTATTCTTCTTACATAAGCCGGGCACATAACTTAGGCACCCACTCTGTCTCTCTATGTGGACAGGAATCAAGTAGATTTGAGGCGCTCTCCATGCAGACAGGAGTCTTTCAGTTGCTCCCTTCTCTAAGGCAGAGCCTATCAGTCTCTTTAGCACAGGGCTAAATAAAGCAACTTCTGAATAGTAGCATACCATCACTGGCTTATACATTTTCCCACAAGTGTGTATTTTCCATCTAAGTTAATTCTTTGAACAAACAGATTTGAAAGAGGGCAAATCTATGAAAACCTAGAGCTGAATTTACATTATTTGACTATCGTCTTATAAAAGTTAAACCGAGGAGTCTATCCAAGTGGGTTAGGTATACAGTTACTCTGTTTAGCTGAGGCAGTACCAGCATTTTCTATTAAAAAGAGACGTTCAAAGTGAGAAAGCTAATTTTGAGGATTTACACAACACATAAATGTGGGGCTCTGGGCAAAGCCCCTCATTTCTGCGGACGCGCTTGTCACCTACAATGTGGGATCCTAATTCTATGCTCCACCTGCTTCACCATGGTGCCATCTGCGCCAACTGTGCTCCGCGCCTTGTGTGGAAGTGTTCAGGGGAAATCATTACAATTTAGCAGGCCCACTTCCAGCCCAGCCGGGTTGTCCTCAGTGAGTCAAGCTTGCTTGCTTTCACCGTGCAATTTGGCCCGTGAAGTATGCTATTAATCACAAATAATCATAACAATCGTTCCCCAAGAGGCAAATCTTTCCTTCAAAGCCCGGAGAGGACTTCCCCTCTCAGGGAAATTAAGACGCTAATCACATCTGTGGGTTACATCATCCTCTGCATGCTGCCTGGGGAAATGAGGCACAGGTGCCCCTTAGCTGGGACTGAGCTCAAGTATAGGAGAAATACTGGGCAAAGGAAGTGAGAAGCTGGGGGGCTGGGCTCTCTTCAGCTTTGGATTTAGTGGGGGAATCTACCTTCCAACCAAGTGCCTTACTGAGTGACCTATGGCCTTTACTCTAAATACATCTTTACCGCTCGCTACCACCCGCTTTATCTGTAAAGTGATAAAAAAGAAAGAGTGCTTGGACTTCCCACAGGGCAGGGCACCCTGACTTCTCTTAGGTCCAGAAAGCGAGGGGGAGGGGAGTGGGGAGAGTGGGAGGGAAATGGGAGGATGGGAGGAGGTGGGAATTTTTAATAAATAAATTAATTAAATTTAAAAAAAGAAAGAGTGGAGCAATTCTCTAGCTGAGCCCGGGAATAAACTCTATTATTGACAAGCAAACAAGAAACAAATTCTTGGGCTGGAGAGATGGCTCAGCGGTTAAGAGCATTGCCTGCTCTTCCAAAGGTCCTGAGTTCAATTCCCAGCAACCACATAGTGGCTCACAACCATCTGTAATGAGGTCTGGTGCCCTCTTCTGGCCTGCAGGCATACACTCAGATAGAATATTGTATACATAATAAATAAATAAATAAATAAATAAATAAATAAATATTAAAAAAAAGAAAAAAAAGAAACAAATTCTTCTCAAATTTTCAGATTAGCTTTGCATGGAAGACAAGTTTTCAGTTCTCTTTCGGCTGCTGGTGTTGAAGGAAGCTTAGGTTTTTATCCAAGAGGCTCTTAGCTGCTTTTTTTTTTCTTTTTTAATGCAAAGGAATACCAGAGATGACTCATTTTGGTTTTAATTCCATCTCTGAAGAGCCAGAGGGGAGAGATTTTTAGGTGATTTGCTATCCACATCTCTAGATGAGTCTCCGTTTGCATAGCCCAAGATTACAAGATTCTGCTGATTAGAGTACATGACTCCAGTTGCAAGCAAACGCACTGGTTTTGGCCTGGGGAGCACAGCGAGGCTTGTTCACTGACCCGGGCCCTCAGGAACGCAGCAATTGCGACAAGCAGAAGGCACACATGTCGGTATTCTCGTTCAGAGGACGCTTCCTGAGAGTGAGAGAGGAGTGATCTCTTCTGCAGCCCGTATACGTAATGAGTGGATGACAGACTTGTATGAGCACAGCAGCAAACCCTGAGCAGATACATTCCATTCCATCTGTGGAAAGGCGTGCCGCCACACTGAAGGCAGAGAACTGCCTTGCTCCTCACTGTCTCCTCTTTTATGGCCTCTGAAGATAAAAGTGCGGATTTGCGCCTGCCTTTAAGGCTAGCCTGTAATTCTTTGAGAGTTCTGCTTTCACTCTATAGCACAGGAACTATCCTTCAGCAGATTTTAGAGGTAAGGAAAAAGGAAGAAAAGGTGGAAGGAAACAAGATGGGGGGGGATGGTTATAGTGTCTATATTTCTCTAGCATCTATACATTAGATAATTTCATCTTCAGAAACCACAAAACCAGTACCTATTTTTGACTCAGTTTTCTGAGAGAGATGAGTTTAGGTAAGAGAGAAATAATAACATTCAGTATTAGCGTGGAAGAAATGAACTAGAGCTTCATTTCTCTTGACTCCAAAGAGTTGATTCCTCCAAAGAGTTGATGATGGCACACCACACCACATGCCAGATAGGACAGAGTCAAGAGGAGAGGCTTCCATGCAGGCTCAGAGAGACAAATGCCATTTCGCATTGGTAAACTAAGCCTTCAAGTATCTGAGCTCAGACACAAGACCAATAGAAGCCATAGTAAAACACATCCAACCAAAAGAACATGGCAATCACGTGCACCTGTTAACCTGACACAAAAGGAGCCATGGTGGCAGGATTGAACAAGACACTTTTAACAACTGTCTGTCTGTCCATTTCGACAAATGTTAAGTGGCTTTGCTAGCAGAGGAAGAGGATGGGCTCCAGGTCCATTTCACAAGTGGAGTACGCACAAGAGCAAGTAGTACAGGGAGGAAAGATTCGATTATGAGGCCACTGAAGTCCATCATTTTGGAAGCAGGATACTAAAGACTTACTGGTTAAATTCCTGAAAGGAAACCTTGGATATATAAGTTCCCACCTAAAGGAGCCCATTCCTTTAGATCTGGAAACACACATAGAAGACAATGACCAACAAGCACATCTTCTCATTCAGATGGTTGTTGCTGTGCCAGTCCATGGGCGAGGCTCATGAGTTCATATTGCTGACGTGATGGGGCCCTAGACCTTCCTTTTCTCTATTGCAATAACACTGGACATTTCTGTCTTTTTCCAGGTTGAAAAAAGGCTGGCTAGCAGTCAGTGAGAAGATACAGAAAGCCCAGAGATGTGGCATTAACCCACATCTCCACCCTTTTCAGGCCAGAGGTGCTAAACTAAACTTGAATTCTACATGGCTTTCCTATACCCAGACAGGTTTTAAAACAACCACCAGACATATAGCTTGAAAGACCATTCCCTAGAAGTAGCAGTGATTGCCCTAATAAGAAGAAGCAACAGAAGGTTGGTAGTTTGCAGGTTAACCCTTACTATTATGGGGCCTGAACTTTAGTTGATGTCCTCAACCTTGACGCAGACTTCAGGGTTCCCCTTCTCCAGGGAGGTGAAGTAGATGCCAACCTTTTCCAGCCATTGAGGCCACAAAACAAGAAGGATGCTATGGCAAAACTGACTCCACTCTGAGTCTAGGCCTTCATTTATTTATGGGTTAGGATGTAAGCAACTGTAAAGGTCAGACCCAGTGGCATAGCTGGGAAAGTTAGATAGATGCAGTAGGGGAGCATTACAGCTGCCAGAGTGAGCCACGAGAATCGATAGGAAGAGGACTACTCAGCATCCCAAATACTATGAACCCTGGATCACCAAGAGACAGTCAGGATCAATCATGAACTTTGAAAAGACAGCTCAGTAATCCTTAGATGATCAACTTCTATGAGGCCAATTTTTGATCAGCAACAATGCAATAACTCAACCAGAACAGATGTGGATGTCCAAAATCTTTCTGTCTCTCTTTGTGCCTGTTTTTCTCTCTGACTGTCTGTCTCTGTCTCTCTCTCTCTATCTCTCTGTCTCTGTCTCTCTCTGTCT